ATATGAGCTGTTAGGGATGAATTTTTTATTTATTATGCTGACACATTTATTTTTAGTGCATACTCGTATTTGATTAGACGACCCGTTTATTTATTAACTTTATTTATTTATTTTCGTCTACCGGCTAGAATATTCAAGAAATCTTAGAGAAAAACATGCTCACTCTCTGTTCTCTAATAAGTTTTTTCGAATATTCTGGCTGGGAGACGAAAATAAATAAATATACTGTTTAATAAATAAACGGAGCGTCTACCCAAATATTAGTATGCACTAAAAATAACGTTTAAGTAATATATTAGAGTTACGTCTTTTTGATGTCCTGTATCATAGTTCGATGAACTTTTGTTGAAAAATAATGAAGAAGGGTTTAACTCAGTTTATATTTTTAAAATGTCACCCCCACTAATACGAAATTTCTAAAACGTATATAAGTATAGTAGTACTATGACTTCCTGGAGCATTCTAGAACTTTAAGGAATCTTGTAGAACTTCCTTAAGCCTTCCAGAACGTTTTTTGTATTTGTAAAGCTGCATATTATGTTATTGGCATTAACTGTTAAATCCGTTAAAAAATACATGAGTACTATCAAATTACATCATTAGCAAATTGAAAAATAAAGCCTCTGAAATATTTTGATTTTTCGTTTTGGTTTGACCTTTTGCAATAACTAAAATAATTTAATGCCTTTTTCATCTGTTTATAATAAAGAGTATTAATTACATTTACCGGCCTGAATGTCCGAGAAATTTCGTCGAAAACATGTGTCCTCAGAAAGGAATCGAACCTATCATACACGGAACCGTCATTTGGCCTGACGTACGATTTAGCGAGAGAGGTAGCGTCTGTTTAGCAATGTTAAATTACTGTTTTTAAAAATCACGTCAGGCCAAATGATGGTTCCGTGTAGGATACACGTTCGATTATTATAACAGAGCATTTACTTAAATATTTGTATCTATAAAAATAACGTATAAAATTATATATATATATATATATATATATATATATAGTCTGTGTCGTAAGGAAAATATCTCAGACAAAAGAAGAAACAAAATATTATGAAGTAGTCGCAACACAACTTTGAAAATTGCGTAAAAATTTCGACAGAAATAAAAAAAAAAGCTATAATATAATTGGAGCAATTATAAAAACAGGATAGGAAAAAAATTAATGCTTACTTTTAAAATGTCACAAACAGAAATTTGTGAAAAATTATAAAGTTATGAAGCGGAAAAATGCGCATTCACTCTCAATAAAATATTTGCAAGTGTTGGCGTTGCAAATGCATACAGGGTATATTAAAAAAAATTGCCTAAGCATCAGAACTATCACTTTTAAGTAAACATACATAACAATGTGTAAGTTAAGCAAAGAAATACATGAAAGCTGATTTTTCAACAGCAATTATTTGCAAAGACTAATAATTACTATTATTTATGGCTGGTTAGGGCTTTCATAGAAATAGTCAACCAACACAGAAAACAACGCTGGGTATGTGGTACAGTGTTTTGGCTTATTATTATAAGTTTGTAAGATTAAAGATTCCTGAAAAGCTGATGATGGTATCAATATAAATGCAGAGAATTCTGTAAAGTTCTTGGACAATATTTTGAATGGTACGACCTTAAATGCTTTAAATATAAGAGTATATTCATGCAAGAAATGCTCTTTCACACCCTGCAAGACTGATTATTTCTTGCTTGGCTAAAAAAGAGTTTTCAAGAGCCCAAATGACTGGAATAGATTTCAGTCTCGCCAGAATATGAAGATCATCATTAAAAGAGATGTATATGAGTATTGAAAACAACATTCTCTGAGAAGCAATAAAAATCTGCTGTAAGCAGTGTTAAATTCGAAACCGTAGAAAATTTAACAAAAACAATGAATGAAAGACTGATGAAGATTATGTAATGTCAAGGGGGACATCTTAAATTGTAAATTAATAAAATATTAATTCAGAAAAGTTGCATTTTTTTCAGTCATATACATTCCTACTCTTTAAATGTTTTCAAGAACATGAATTTCTATTCGAGTTTCTAGAATGGCAAGTTATTATTTACATTATATACATGTAGATACTGAAGAGACTGAGATAGATAGATAGACTGAGATAGATAGATAGATAGATAGATAGATAGATAGATAGATAGATAGATAGATAGATAGATTTAACTGGAAGCAGTCGGACAATTTATACAATTATTAAGTCCAAAAAAGAAAACACTTGTTTGCATAGAAAATATAATAAAAAACGAAAAATGTATGTTTTTTTTCTGGCTTAATGGAATATATATATATATATATATATATATATATATATATATATATAAGGGTTAATGGTCAGTGTTGAATCAGACCAGTGAACAGTAGTATTAAAAAGTGCTCAATACACGTGAGAAAAAGATATAAGTAAAAATAAAAATAACATGTTGAGCTTTTAAGTTTAAAACTCAGGAGGTCAATTAAAATACGCAACCAAGAATACATGAGACATTTAGTTGTAGTCGGCCTCTTGTTCACCAGGAATTTATTTAGTGATATATATATTAAGAAATGGACAAGGTCCGACAATTTATTTATTAAAGACATTTTTATGTTTAACGTTGTTTTTTATAGATACAAGTATTTAAGTAAATGCTCTGTTTATGATAAACAGTATTAAATAACATTTACCGGCCTGAATGTCCGAGAAATTTTCATAGAAAATTTTCGTTCTTTGACAGGATTCGAACATGCATCCTATACGGAACCGTCATATACGCTGACGTGCCTTACCGTTCGGCTACAAAGAATCGTTCGGTAGACAAGGTCGAATTTACTGCTTATAAACTTCAATCTTCCATCATAAACAGAGCATTTACTTAAATACTTGTATCTATAAAAAAACAACGTTAAACATAAAAAATGTCTTTAATAAATAAATTGTCGGACCTTGTCTATTTCTTAATATATGACGTCATTTGTTTACATTTGATACGCCAGAGCAGTTATGAATGTACGAGATTCATGGAATATTGAAGTTTATAAGCAGTAAATTCGACCTTGTCTACCGAACGATTCTTTGTAGCCGAACGGTAAGGCACGTCAGCGTAAATGACGGTTCCGTATAGGATGCAGGTTCGAATCCTGTCAAAGAACGAATATTTTCTATGAAAATTTCTCGGACATTCAGGCCGGTAAATGTTATTTAATACTGTTTATCATAAACAGAGCATTTACTTGTATCTATAAAAAACAACGTTAAACATAAAAATGTCTTTAATATATATATATATATAATGGTTTTAATCGGACATTATTATTACTATAAACTTACTTTTGTTGTTCTTTTTAATGTTGAAATAGACATTTATCAGCATGGGCAATTGAAGGTTTTATTAAAGAAGATATGCCTCTCAGCAGACATCGAACCTGCCTCCCGTTTAAATAGCTTTACCCAGAATAAAATGAACACATGTTCCCTTCCTGGCGAAGGGGAAATTTTGAGTAATAAGACGTTTGACTGCTCAAAGCCAGTAGAGTTCATTTCATTTTTATTTAAAAAAAAAAAAACAGGCATATCAACTTAAACACATGTACACACTAAATATAACGTTTATAATATGAATAGAACTCTATTATTATTATTATTATTACTACTACTACTACTATTACTCTATACTTTGTTTTTAGTAGGTACGCGTGCTTGTGACATCTTTTTTAAGAAATACAGATTTTGTTTCCTGTCAGGAGTTATATTTTCATTAGCAAGACTTTCGATCTCTAGGCCGGTAAGCATTGACATTGTTTAATATAAAATACTGGCATGTCTAATCAGACACTATAAATAACGTTTATAGTATTACCAAATTATGACGGATTAAAAAATATATTGATTTCCAATATATATATATATATATATATATATATATATATGCTATAGAATGCTAGTGTTAATAAAACAATGCTCGATGTAATATAACAGAGCAATTAAGTATATATTAACAAATATGTATATTTATTAATATATGTATGCGTGTGTATGTGTGTGTAGGTGTTTGTGTATGTGTGAGTGTGCATAAGATACACATTTACTAGCTTGCCTACTTTACCCGCTTCATCTGCTTTTCATTTTCTCTCACACATGTTTTTTCCTCTCTGTATGTAGTTTTCTCAATAGTAGATAGAGTTTTTCACAATAATTAGATGGATAGGAAGATGGCAAGATTAGGATAGATAGATAGATAGATAGATAGATAGATAGATAGATAGATAGATAGATAGATAGATAGATCATGTAAGTAAAGTTGCTTTTACAAGTACATGAATTTGACTGAATGCTTGCGAATAAAAATAAATTCGAGGCGTGAAGAGAGGCTGTGTGCCAAGGTGAGAAAAATCTCTCTAGCAGCTTTGAAAATCAGCATTAATAATCCAGATGATTACTAGGGCTTGAACGTCCATGACAATCAGTAAGAAAGAAAGAAAAACTAAGAGATGGTTGACATTCAACCACCCACGTAAACGAAAAAAGCACTCATACACACACACACACATATATATATATATATATATATATATATATATATATATATATATATATATATATATATATATATGTGTGTGTGTGTGTGTGTGTGTGCAAAGATGTATGCAGGTGTGTTGAAACGTATGAAGCATTTTTTTTTTCTCCGTCAAAATCCTTTACGCTCCACCCCTGTAATCGCAATGCTGCAAATCTCTTCCCTATCACGCCCACCATTTTCCTCAAATATTCCTTTTGAATAATTTAATCCTCCCATTCTTTATTCTTTTTCCTTCCCTTTTTACATTTCTCTTTTGAAAGATTCCGTCACTGTCTCTTTCCTTAACACACGTCTGCCAGTTTGTAGCATATATATATATATATATATATATATATATATATATATATATATATATATATATATAAACTTCCTTCAACTACTCCTGCCACTTCGTTTCCTTTTGTAGCTGAGGATTTCTCTCTTTCTTTCGATGTATGTCTCTATCTATCTATCTATCTATCTATCTATCGATTTCTCGATCTTTTCCAGTGCTCTTCTCTATCTGTTTCTCTCACTTAATATTATTATATAATTCCATCTTCTCTCTTCTCTTTCTTTTTTAGACCCAGTTTTTGTCTTTTACCATTCGTTCTCTTTTTCTTTTTCTTTATCTTTCCGTTTCTCTTCTTAAGGATTTCATCACCTGCCTTTCTCTCTAACACAAGCTATGCCACTTAATAATAAATACCCACCTCTCTATTCTTATTTAGCATCTTCTCCCACTTCTTTCATACTCAATATTCATCTTTTTACCTCTCTCTCTCTCCCCCTTCCCCACGTACACATATTTCTTTCACGTTCCTTTTATTTAGCTATTTCTTTTTCTAACCTCTCCTATGCCACTTATTTCTTCCTTTCTTTATTCTACCTTAATTTTTACTTCCTTTATTTCTCTCTCTCTCTTCATTTCTTTCTTTCGCTTTCACGTTCTCCTTCGCTTCTCTCTATATATACCCGTTTCTTTCTATCTATTTATCTATCTATCTATTCGAGTCTATTGGATTTTCTCTTCTCCATTTTGTCTACTTTTCTAACCACGTTTCACATCTTTCTTCGCACCCCTCTCCTGCTCGTTAACCATAATCAGTCTGGCGATATTAACCTTCTATTTCTTCCTCACTCTAACTCCCACTCAAACTCACCTTTCATTCTCGCTCCTTTTCTTTAACCTCTCTTACGTCACTTGCTTAATCTTCTCTTTTATTCCACTGCAGCTGCTCCAACTTATTTCACTTATACTAAGTAACCATCTCCTCTTTCTGCTTCTATTTCTCGCTTTACATCCTCACTCTCTTTTTCTTTCTTTCTTTCTTTCTCTCTCTCTCCCCACCTCCCTCTCTCTTTATCTATCCAACTACCTCTCCTGTATTGAATTACTCTTCTCTACTTTTTCTCCTTTGCTAACTTCGTTTCCTGGCTTTCTTCATCCTACATTCCTCGTTAATTATATTCAGTCTGGCAACATTTATTGAATAAACCCAAAATTGGCACAAGGCTATAGTCATTGAGCTTCTAAAAGAAGATTATCTCAGAAGTCAATTATACTCAATAATTATGAAGCGAGCATACTAAACACGCTTGCAACAAATGTTCAACGTTTTCTATTGAACGAAATTCGTCTTTTAGAATTATTATAAAATGTATCTAATTTGAACTAATAAGCTTAATCAAGGTTGTGTTATAATCTGCTTCATGTTGAAGTCATTTTTCAAGGATGACATATGGCGATGTAAAATTGTTAACTTCATTCAATGAGACATGGATTTGCTAGTTTAGAATAATATTATATTTGAAAATTTTCAATAAATAAGACCATTGATTTGATAAATATTTGAGAACCAGCAAATATCCCAGTTATGGAAATTTACTGATCGTGGCATAGATATGGCAAAAATATGGAGCATCGAGTAATGATTGAATTCACGATTCAGTCGTAATTGATCAAGCGAGACAAGGGTGCTGACAAGTACATCACGCCGAAGAGCACACAATGTCTTGTTATGCAATTAATAAACTTATAACGATTCAGGTTTTCATTCTGTTGACTATTTGATCCATATAACGTCGACAGTTTTTTAGTATATAACTTTAAATTTATACATAAAATACTTTTCCACAATAGACCTTTAGTACACCGTGAAAAAAAAAGATTAATAATCCAATGTCTGTGTCAATGATTTATTATTTTAAATAAAACGTAGTTAGTCAAAAGACAGTAAAAAATGTGGATTCCCCTAGGAAGATTAGTGAAGGGATATTTCTAGATTAATGAAGTACCCTGAAATTTCAATAGTCTCTTTCTGATTTCAAGTGTCTTTCTGGTTCCCATTTTCTTTAGAATTTTCTCATTGCTCACATGCTCTGTTCATATTATCCTCAGCATCAGTCTGTAGAATTACGTTTCTATCGCTTCGAGCTTCTTAATCTGTAAGAAAATTATTCAGCTTTCACTGCCATACAGGAAAGTAGATATGACATAGCAGTTTAGCACCCTTTTCTTTGTTTCTAATGACATACTCCAGTCTTAACTCTTCGCTTAGCTTCTAGAAGGCAACTTTCTTTATTCCAATAAACCTTCGAATTTCCGTCGTCTAATTTTACATAACTCACATAATCAAATTTCTGTATTCGATTGATTATGTTGTGTCCAATTTAAAATGGCGGTTTCGACTTCCTCTTCTTGATAACGTCCGTACATTCTGTCATATCCAGAGACGGATATGCAATGTGGTTGGCCCTGATCTGGCATCTCGTTTACAGTCTCTCTCTCACAGACTTGCCGTCGCCTCCCTCTGTCTTTTCTACAAATACTTTCACGGTAATTGCTCCGAGGAGCTATTTTCGCTAGTTCCCAAACTGCATGAATTTAAACGTCCCTCTAGGTCGGCATCTCAGTCCCACCCTTTCACTGTCCAAACGGTTAAATGTAGCCGTCTCATCTACTCCAATAGCTTTATGGCTCGCACTTCCCGTCTGTGGAACTCCCTTCCTCTTACTTGCTTCCCAGATAGCTATAATCTCCAACTATTCAAATGCAATATCAATCGACATCTCCAGATGCCTTGATCTATTCCCCATCCTTCTCTTCAGCCTTTCCTCTATCACGCCTTTTTACTCTTGTTCCCACTCTCTGTAACCCCTTGCGTTCTAGTGGCACTCCCGCCTTGCTTGAGGTAAAAAGCTTTAAAAAAATAGTCCTTTCTTCTTGCTTTCCTTTGCTAGCTTCTCTCGGTCTTTTCTTTTCTTTTTTTTTTTTTTTTTTTTTTGTAGTTTTTGAGTTTGTCCGGAAATACGGACATCCCGCCAAAAGACGTTAAATTCAATCCCTTCACTACGTACCTTGATACGGGCAACACGTATCCAACTTCTTTCTGTGATATGGTGTGAAATAACACAGTGTAATTTCTCTCTTTTATCACATGCACCACAAAACAATTGTAACCTGAAAAATACACACAAAAATATGAATAAATTGTAGGAAATTAACATACATTTACTATGCTTTTCCTGTTATTTGTGTACGTTTTATTTCCTGTCAAGTATGCTTTTATCTCCATGAAGACGAGACTAATTTCTGCTGCTATGATGTGAGTGAATCCCCCAGAACTTATAAATAAGTAAGATAGATTCTCGAGAAAAATTTTCTAGCACAACATAGTGAGCTAATTGTAACCTAAAAAATTCACACAAAGTCGTAGATGCTACTATGTATCTAATGTTCTTAATATGTTGGCTACCGATAGCAAATTCTGGTGGGACTGCTAGTTTTCTTAGGATTCTCTCGCAGTATCGTTTAAAAATTCGGTGAGATGGCATAGCCTTTGTTCTATTTCTATGCACTAGCTTATCTTTTTTTTTTGTTTAATCATTTCACCCCAAGCAAGGTAATAAAGCCACAAGGATGCAAGAGGTTACTGCTAGAGAATATAAGAGAAACTACTATTAACGAGAGAGGACAATAAATGAATAAGAATTAAGAAGACAGGAGATAACGATTTACATTGCATTTAAACTTTTGAAGTTCAAAGTTGAATAGAAAGCAAGAAGCCGAAAGAGGATTCCACAAGCATGAAGTACGATAGAAGAAACTGTTATCATAGAACTTACGGTTACATCTCGTCATTTCAACTGTAAAATAATGAGGCCTTGCAGACAATCCGTTACAGCGCTTAAATTCATAAAGTGTAGGTACCATAGCGGAAAGTTCATCAGAAAATATTTATAGAAAAAGCACAAAAAGATACGTTACGGTGGTGGGAATGGAACGGAAGCCAAAATGCCAGGTCAGGAACAATAACATTGCAGATTCTTCTTGGGGGTTTTTCATGAATCTATAAATATACATTATGGGCACCAGACTAGATGTGGCATAATATTCTAAGCGAGGACGAATGGAAGACGTTGTAGGGATATTATTATTATTATTATTATTATTATTATTATAAATAAATAAATAAAAATATAATATAAAATAATAAATAAATCATAAATAAATAAAACAATAATATCAAATAAATTAAATAAAAATTTAAAATGACAAAAAATACTCACAGCATGCAACAAAAACTGTTCCTGCCGGAAATACGGACATCCCGCCAAAAGACGTTAAATTCAATCCCCTCACCACGTACCTTGGTACGGGCAACACGTGTCCAACTTCTTTCTGCGATATGGCGTGAAATAACACAGTGTAATTTCTCTCTTTTATCACATGCACCACAAAACAATTGTAACCTGAAAAATACACACAAAAATATGAATAAATTGTAGGAAATTAACATACGTTTACTATCCTTTTCCTGTTATTTGTGTCCGTTTTATTTCCTGTCAAGTATGCTTTTATCTCCATGAAGACGAGACTAATTTCTGCTGCTATGATGAGTGAATCCCCCACAACTTATAAATAAGTACGATAGATTCTCGAGAAAAATTGTCTAGCACAATATAGTGAGCTAACTTTCTTAGCTACACACTTATCTAATATACTTTTAATTTAATATATTTTTCCACTTATCGTTATCGCACTTGCTATCGGCTTGCAGGCTTTTCGTTTTACTTTTTTGCGAATTATTTCTCTCCTTTATAAGTCGAACTTGCCTAGTAATGCAAATAGGTATAAGTTTACTTTTTGTTTCCATTTTCCTCTTAAACCGCCCATTACTCACATGTTCCGCCCGTTGTAATCTCGACATTCTTCTACAGAGAACCCTTTCAAGCCATCTTTTCATCTGTGACGAAATTGTCCGGTAATAACTGTCATATAGGATGAGAGATATAACACAGAAGTTTAGCTTTCTTTTCTTTATTTCTAACCTGTTCGTCGGGAGTCCTTGGCATGACGATAAACGACATCTGGTAGCAAGAGATTGGAGGTTTTGAGGAGCGTGGAACCACCTCTCAAATGCTGTTGTTCCCAGGATCATCCTGACCCGGGGTGGTAGCACCTTTTAGGGTCAGAGCTACGGGCAAATAGTGAACCTCTAAACAAAAACCAAACACTCTGAAAGTATAAAAATAGATTTTTATAGTAAAAATGCCAGCTATACATTTTTATATAAAAATAAATTACCAACAACGGCTACTGAAATTAAAATTACCAACAATACATTTTATCTGAAGTCGAAGATATAAAATTGTGTTTAAAATATTTAGATTTTGGCATTATAGATGTTGATATGTCGTTAAACAAAATCAACCAAACAACCAACATAAAAGAACTCTTTCAAGACATTAATCCATATAATATCCTACAATTTCTTAAAGGAATCAAACTGTATTCTAAAATATAGTCGGTTGGTGTATAATTATCAGGCGTTTTTGTAGGCGAGTTATTAATAAAAATTGTTGTTTTGTTTACCTTTTTTAATAAAAAATATTTTATTTTCAGGTTATAGAATTGAAATAGATGGTTACTACTCCTCGGAATAATCATTTAAAATTGTTATTGTTGAATTGTTGTTTCTTTTTAAATAATAAATATTATTTAAAAAAACGTCTGATAATTATGCAACAACGCAATAGCTACAACATAAAATACACATATCACAGCTTCTTGTACGTTCTGAGTATAACGATAAACTACATGCGCCAGCAAGGCTTCTGATCGAGAGTTTTTGAGGAGCGTGGAAGCACTTCTTAATGGTTGTTGTTCCCGGATCCACCCTGACCCAGCGTGGTAGCACCTGATATGGTCTCAACTATGGGCAAATAGTGAGCCCCCAAACTTGAGTCAAAACATGAAAATATAAGTATACATTATAAAAAAATTACCAGCAATACACTGATATGCCGTAAAACAAACCAAACTGCCTCCAGTAATTATGCCCACACAAACATGTACATGCATAAAAGCTGAGTATCATCTACCATGTATTCAATTGCGAATGTAGAATAACACACACACACACATATATGCCATGTGTCCTTTATCCTCAAGGACACATGGCACAGTGGATAAAGGCGTTGATCCAGTTAGATCCAGTGACAAGACCCAAAGAGTGTGAGTTCAATACCCGGTTAAGGCAGTGGAGAACTTGCAGAGGGAAAATTAACAGGAGATAACTGATAGCTGACATCCATCAAACAAGGCACGAGGAACTAGAACAGTCTACCCCAGTGAGCGAAATAAAGGGTTCAGTTCGACATTCCAACCACCTGAAGAAGGCCGGAGCGAAACGTTGTGATAAATATGGCGACAAAGATGAGAACAATAGTCCGAATAATGTAAATACATACACACACACACACACATATATATATATATATATATATGGTCTGGAACCGCTTCTGTTTGCCTCGGGGTTCTTGATAAGCTCCAGAGGCGGATATTCAATATAATTGGCCCTGTTCTGGCATCTCGTCTACAGTCACTTTCTCACAGACGCGCCGTCGCCTCCCTCTGTCTTTTTTTAAAAGTTCTTTCATGGCAATTGCTCCGAGGAGCTGCATTCGCTGGTTCCCAGACTTCATTAGTTCAAGCGCGCTACGAGGCTAGCATCCCGCTCTCACCAGTTCACTGTCGAAACTACTAAATGTAGCCGTCTCTTCTACTCCAATAGCATCATGTCTCGCACCTCTCGCCTGTAGAACTCCCTTCCCTATTCCAGTTTCCCTGAGAGCTATAATCTCCAACTATTCAAATGTAATGTCAATCGACATCTCCAGTTGCCTTGATCTATCCACTATCCTTCTCCTCATCCTTTCCTCTATCACTCCTATCTGATCTTGCTCCAAATCTTCTGTAACCCCTTGCGTCCGAGTGGCTTCCCGCCTTACTTGGGATGAAACACTTAAAAAAAAATATTATATTATATTATATTTGTATTACTTCAGAGCTCCAAAGAAAATTAAATTTTGGCTTTAAATGACCCATAAGGAGTTGATATGATGTTAAACAAAGAAACTCTTAATAGGAGACATCTTCCTTCTTTTTTTTTCTTTCGTGCATTATCAAATGCTTTTTCGCAATCTACGAACTCGTGCTATTTTCTATTCCCTTATGGCACCACTTTCTAGAACTTGAAAAAAAAAATTCAGAATTTTGAATATTGATTTCTTTTCTAGATATAATACTCACCCTGCTTAACAGATTGGCGTAACACAATCTTCTAAACATAACGAACAAAGCTGTATAATACTTATCATTATTACCCTATTCATTGTATCCGCATCTCGTTCGGTTTTCGTCTTCCCTGTTACTCTAACTTTGGCTTGTTCTGCTTCGAACTCTCCAACTCCTAAACTACGTATTTCATAGATTCTCTTATTCCAGCATTCTCACGCTTTTGCTCTCGTTTCTGCCATAACCATCTCGCCAGCAAGTCTATCGATCGATAAGGGTTCCTGCCTGCGAACGCCCGGTCGAAGGTAACCGGGGCCCCGAGTTGTCATCCCGGGATAATTACCCGGCGCCGGTTCGTCCGTCCTTCATCCCACCTGCAGGGAACGAAAGGGGCAGAGTGAGCTCGAACGAGCGAAAGAAGGAAAGACTGAATGAGAGAAATAACGAAGGGGGTGAAAAGGAATTGGAAAGAAAGAAGAAAGGGGTGCGTGAGAAAAGTAGAAAAGAAGTAAAGGATTCGAGACTGGTTGCCTTTGGGAAGGTGTGTTGGTTGGTTGGAGTAAAGGGTCTAGCGGGGGCTGAGTGGTGTAAGGGTGAGAATTTCGGTGAGGAGCGGGGGATCGTGATAAAAGACGTGGTAGGGTTCGGTTTGGGTTTTAAGGTGATTGGTAGCTAGTTGTGGTAACCAGAAAGAAAGATTCGCAGCAAAGATGGACAGGAATTTTTCGGGCTTGAAAGCAGAAAAAAAAACAAGCAAACAAGAAAGGTAAAACAACAATTGGAAGAAGAAGAAGAAGAAGAAGAAGAAGAAGAAGACAATAATTATAATGATGTTAAATTTTCCTCGTCATCGTATTGGCGGAGTTTATGACGATGATGACGATAGTAATGAAAATAAAGATGATGACGACGACTACGAAAACGACGACTACGACAACGGCAGCAACGATGATGATGATGATGATGATGATGATGATGAACAACTTTTTCAAAAAATATCAAAGAATATTAGAAGGCGGAAGGAAACATAGATGGTCAAATAAAGTGAAGGAATAAAAAAGGACAATCTAAGAATGTAGACGGAAAGGAAAAGAAGACGTGACTGAAAGGAAGAGGGAATTTATGGGGAAAGGTGAAAGTGGAAGAGAAGAAAGTCGATAAAGAGGAATGAGCGGGATGTGTTAAGGAATAAAAGAAGACTGTGAAAAATAATGGATTGAAGGAGGCTTAAAAGAACGAAAGAAAATATAAAGAAATAACGTGAAGAAAGTAAAAGAAATAAATCATGAATATTCGAAGAAAGAAAGAATGAAAGAAAGAAGTACAATAAAAATATGAATAAAGAATTTGAAAAATACTGAAGGCAAAGAAAGGAAGAAAGAAAGAAATCATGAATATTCAAAGAAAGAAAGAAAGAAAGAAAGAAAGAAAGAAAGAAAGAAAGAAAGAAAGAATAAAATATTTATGAATAAAAATTTGAAAAATACTGATGATAAAGAAAGATTAGAAAGAAGAATAAATATTTATGAATAAGAAATTTGAATTAAAAGGAGAAAGAAAGAAAGAAAGAAAGAAAAAAAGAAAGAAAGAAAGAAAGAGAATAAATAAAACACGAATATTTGCAGAAAGGAAGTAGGGCGTTCAATGAAATATGAATACGGAATTTGAAAAATACTGAAGGCAAAGAAAGAAAGAAAGAAAGAGAGAAAGAAAGAAAGAAAGAAAAAAGAAAAAGAAAGAAAGAAAGAGAATAAATAAAACACGAATATTTGCAGAAAGGAAGGATGGCGTTCAATGAAATATGAATACGGAATTTGAAAAATACTGAAGGCAAAGAAAGAAAGAAAGAAAAAAAGAAAGAAAGAAAGAGAATAAATAAAACACGAATATTTGCAGAAAGGAAGTAGGGCGTTCAATGAAATATGAATACGGAATTTGAAAAATATTGAAGGCAAAGAAAGAAAGAAAGAAAGAAAGAAAGAAAGAGAATAAATAAAACACGAATATTTGCAGAAAGGAAGTAGGGCGTTCAATGAAATATGAATACGGAATTTAAAAAAGAAAGAAAAAAAGAAAGAAAGAAAGAAAAAATATTCAAAGAAGGATAGAAAGAAAAAGTAAAGAAATAAATCATGAATATTCGAAGAAAGAAAAAAGGTCGCTGAAAGAAATATGAATAATGAATTTAAAAAATACTGAAGGCAAAGAAAGAAAGAAATCATGAATATTCAAAGAAAAAGAAATGAAAGAAAAAAGAAAGAAAACGGAAAATACTCAATATGAATGAGGAATATGAAAAAAGAAAAAACAACAATGAAGAAGGAGAAGAAGAAGAAAAAGAAGAAGAAGAAGAAGAAGAAGTTTAGGATTAAGAAAAGAATAATGTTATATATTAAGGAAGGGGGGAATAGATGGATGAGAAAGTCGTTAAGGTGGAAGAGAAACAATATCAGAAAAAAAAAAATGGGGAAAAATACTCTGAGGAGGTGTAGGGAGGAGGTTGATTTGATGAGTATAAAAGAGTATGTTGGTTAATTGGTAGCATGTCTTCTACTGGCTGCACCTGGGGCAGTGGGACGCCAGCTGACCAGTAGTGGATGGCCAGCCCCGGACGCAATTACTGAGAGGAAGAACGGTGTGGAATAAAGATGTTCACTACTGTCAATATGTTAGGCTCTACTTGTCAATCGAACGTGATGGTTCTACAACGCATACACACTTTATATATATATATATATATATATATAGAGAAAGAGAGAGGGAGAGAGAGAGACAGGGAGGTAGGGAGTGAAGGGGGTTTCCTTCTTCTTATACACTTCCTTCATTTTTTCTTTTGTGTATATACACTAACAGCCGAAAGAGAAAAAGTAGGAAAAGAAACAGGGAGAGAGAGAGAGAGTATAAGATGACAAGAAAATGATGATAGAAAAAAACATGACATTTGACACATGCGCACATACACACATGGATATGCGCATACAAAAACACACACAAACGCATAAAAAACACAAATATACACAAACAAAAAAAGTCAGCCTAACAACACTAATAAGAGCATATCAATTAGTGCATAAATTAATTTCATCAAACTTATTATAACAAAATCGTAAAAATTGCTGAAACCTCCTGACGAGTGGACCGACCAATTACAAAAAGTGTTCGTCTACGAAACTCCGGAGTTGAAGCAGTGAATATAACATCAATTAGCTAAGCGAAACACTTTATTTGGATTAGTCCTATATATATATAGCATTAATACAAATAAAAGTTGTCACTTAGCATATTGTGTGTATGTGTGTGTTTAGAGATCCTTGATAAAACCCAAAGAAGAATCAGCAATATTATTGGTACTGACCTTGTACCTCAGCTTCAGTCACTTTCAGTCAGTTTCCAACCGGCGTAATGGATGCCCCCTTCACTAATACATATTTCGGATTACATCTAGTCTTTTGTTGTCTTGTTATTACCGGGATGTAAAAAACAAATCTATTTCCATACGTGATGATGTCTGTATGCACAAATGAAAGCTAGTAAAAAAAATAAAAAAAAAACCTTATGCAACTGGAATTTATAAACAGGGATCATAACATTCATCTACAAGTTCGGGGTTAATGTAATTTATTACATTTGTTTGCGAAGATGTATTCTCGCCATTTATATCATTAACTTCTCTATCTGTTCAATATCATACAGAATGATTCATTAAATTGAACTGCACCACATACTTTATATATATATATATATATATATATATATATATATTGAACTGCACCACATACTTGATATATATATATATATATATATATATATATATATATATATATATATATATGGCTGATTGGCATTTGTTTTACATTCGTAAAAAACAATACGCGAGATGTAACTGCTTAGTTCGGTCGAATGACGATAGCTCAATGTTATAAAATCTGACTGACACAAAATCGGTTGAGTTTCAATCTTGGCTTGGTGTCTAGTCGCCCCTGAGCAGCTGTGATACATCAAAACAGTATTGTTTCCGAATGATACACACATATATATATATATATATATATGTATATATATAAGGTACGATGGATAAATTATCGCTTAAATGAAAATAATACTGATATTTTATTTTAACAGTGATATTTAATTTATTCAATAAAATCGCTATTAGCTTCAACCACGGCTTCCAGACGACTTAAGGATCTCCCGCAACTCTTCTGAAGCGTCTCCTTTTTTAAGTTGGCGAAAGATGATATAATCCTTGCCTTCATTTCACTTTTGGTGTTGCATGGAGTTTTGTTGGTCTCTTACCCAACTGCGTCCCACAAATAATAATCAAGGGGGTTGCAATCTGGGGAGTTAGTTGGCTAGATGGAAAGAGTGAAGTGGTCACAGAAAGCCATGACTGGGTTCTTCTCCGTGTGTTGAATGCTGCAGAGTCCTGTTGCCATATATCGGGTCTTCTGACATAAACCCTCTTGATTCAGAGCAGCACTACCTCCTCAAGGCACTTGATGTAGGCCTCCGTGATGAGTCCGAGGCACTCGCTAATAAATTCGGTAATTCTTTTCTTATCAGAACAATCAGAGTGAATTTTTCGAGCTGCAGAACCTTCATAATCACCATTAGACTCATCCAACTCTTTCCGAATCCTCGGCACTCTCATCAGATTGACAATCGAGCACTCTGAAATAATCGTATTGGAGCTTCCGGTACGAATGCCAAGCACTACAACATGCCATTTCCAAATTTCTGGCGGAGTGTATTGCAACACTGTGATCTTTTTTCTCACAGACAATGCTCAACTGACCTTACTATAATGTACATTCGACAAAATCAAAAGCAAAAAAGGCGCTTGATCGAAAGTAAAAATATAAAATTTACCCATATATATATATATACATATATATATATAAAATATGTGGAGCGTTTCAATTTATATTACAATGAAACATTCCTACAAAAAGTAGATTAGTAAAGTTAATATTTTGTATGAATGTTTCATTGTAATATATATATATATATATATATATATATATATGAAAGAGTGCTGAAAAGTTCTAGATCTGACCAAACATCAGAATTTAACGGGGTGGGGGTGAATTCTATCTTTGTTGAACTCAGAACTCCTCAGCAACCTTTCATATATATATATATATATATAATTGTGTATTTGGATAGCAATTCATCTTTTATGCAAGTTTTATTAAAGACATTTATTTTATTTACTTTCCTTATCACTAGCACAAAATTATTAAATTACATAACACGGCAGCCACCAAGGAAAGTAAATAAAAACTTAACCACAATACCCTGTCAGTTATTTTTAATTGCCTCTAGCTCAAATTTTGTCCTCCTTGAAATCAATCGTCTACGGTTAGTTGAGGAAGTTGTAAGATAATCTATCAAAAATAAGATTTAAAAAAAAAACTACCCATCATAATGATGTTAATCTGCGTAATTGCTCTTGTGATAGAATCTTCTTCTTTTTTTTTTTTTGGCTGATTAACTTATTTTTCCAGCATTGTTGGTAGACACATACGAACTCGTTTTTATGAAAAGAAAATTTTCTTACAATTCAAAATCAGCATAACAATTATTGTTTTAATTTTATGAAACATATCAAAACGTCGACGGCATATAATAAAAATTCGCGATGTATAATTCAGAAATACTAAACACTTCAAATACGTGTTCATATGCAAATCTCCAAAATATAAAAAGCATTTGATACAGCTGGTGGCTAAACTAATCCTGACATTTGGTTGGGATTGTTATTCTTTGAATATTAGTTCTAGCTCCAGGGTTCTTCCCTCCAAGCAGTACCCATCCCACAGGAGGGAGAGGGTTTTATCACCCGGTGTATGAGGTGTCCCCAAAAGGGAAAGTGTTTTGTACGGTGTAGCCGATAGACCTCCTTTAAAACTCGACCTTCCGTCACATCCGCTTGCGGCGTGGACACCTTTGTAAATACCACTAATTCTGACCTGGTTATGGTCCGTTACCTTGTACCACGGTGATAGTCCAAGGTAGAACCAATAAAGAAGAACTCGAATATGGATATGGAAGAACACAGATATATTACAAACAGGAATATATACAGAGAAGTAGAAAGTGTTAGTACGAGCAATCAGGTTTAGTAGTAATTGTCTGAACGCGACTCTGTTTCGGATTGCCTCTGACTCGACTGACTGACTCGCTCGCCCTGACTGACTGACAGACTCCTGACGGACTTCAGACTGAACTCTAGACTTCAGACGGAACAGTATTTAGTCACACCCACCACGAGGGCATCATGTGGCACAAGGCCGGTTTAACGTAGGATCTCCGAGACCGTGGGCTCGGCCAAAAAATATGCCCTTTGAACCCGTATAAACGGGTTCAGGGTCGGTTTACCTCCCCGAAAGAGACTAGATGTGGTGGCTGATACTTTAATATCCGACTAACGGTCGTCCGACATCGACTCACTGACCAACGATATTCAGTCACCCCCACCCCCAGGAGGGCGTCATGTGGCACAAGGCATTTTAACGTGGGATCTCCGAGCCGAAAGAGAATCCTCCCTTCGGCGTAGCCTCGTTCGGGTTCCTCTCCGCTGGAAGGCAGAGAGTTCAACCGATCAGCCGGTCAGCCGGTCGCCCGACTTCAGGCTGAACTCCCTGCTTCCTCTTGAGGGGCAGTATTTATTACATATGGAATAGTACATTATGTTATTATGGGTAAGGTCTCATAACAGACCTTGAAGACGAAACTACCAGAGAAATAGTAGTGAATACTTCTAACTAATTATAGTTTTCAACATTCTAAAGAGAGCTTTTATCCAAGAAAAAAAGTGAAATATACGCCAGGCCTGTTCTTGCAACCAGAACTCAACTGAGTGGAGAAACCATGGAATAATATTTTCAAGCATTGCACGCTCTGGCAAAGGACTATAAATTCAAAGATGTTACTGCTCATGTTTAAAAAAATTGAAGCTAATAGAGATGCCTTTATTTCTGGATTATCCGCACCTCCTATTTTTCACGACGATAAACTACATCCGCGTCCTGGGTAAGACGATAAATTACATCCACGTCCTGGGTAAGACGATAAACTACGTCCAACAGCATGGCCTCTGACCAGGTGGTTTTGAGGAGCGTGGAACGACCTCTTAATTGCTGGTGTTCCCAAGTCCACCCTGACCCGGGGTGGTAGCACCTGTTAGGGTCCCAGCTACGGGCAGATAGTTAACCCCAAA